GTTTTGAACATCTGCACCCTGAGTTCTTCCCCTCCTTAACCCACCTGAAGAAAAGCACAATTTCTGGTGCATCTGGGGAAAGGTGATTATGACTCCTGTGTTTGGGGAGATTTTCAGGAACACCTAGGAAGCCATCTTTCACCCTGTGAGGCTACAGAATCTGATTTAAACAGTAAAAAGGAAGTGGGCAAAAGGCAGGACAAAGGTAACAAGATGAGATAATGAGCTTGTGACTTTTTTAACCCACCCAAATCAATAAGTCAAATAAACTGCCTAAATAGCTTATCAGTTGGGGGTTGTGTGAATTTTACCTACTATGAGTCAGTTAATTGATAAGGGGGAGCATTTAAAAATTTCTTTGGTATCAGATTTAGTTTGCATTTTATTGTACAGAGAGGAAGGACTCCCTCACACAGTAAAGACAGAAACATGGTCGTTCCAGGCACGAAAGTTACACAAGGTTGTTTCAACAGCCAACCACCGAGGTCCCAGGCTTTGCTGTGGTATGACAGGGACATAAGATGCGGTCATGTGGACACCTACCCCTACGATCCCTCTGGACCCTGGCCAGCGCAGGGAACCCCATCCCTTCCCGCCTCAAGGAGCATCGTCCTTCACAGCATCTTCCCTCCGGCTTCTCATCCACAGTCAGACAGGCACGTGTCTCTCCTGGTTGAGCAGATCCTTCCTGTGGCCCCGTTTCCCCCTTTTAGCAGTTATCCTTCCTTTTCCATCTTCTTTGAACTTCTAGGCACCACCACTCATCACCTCTGCCCCAAACACCCCACACCCTTAGCTTCCACAAGTCTGTTTAAATTGCCCAATTTGTTTGCTCTGCAAATATTTACTAGATGCTAATACCCAGGCGTTGTTACTAAATGCAGCGATGTTTCAGGCAGTATCCTGAGCACTTTTACTAGTATTAGTTCAATGAATCCCCACAACCCCATGAGGCAGGGACTTTGTTATGGAACTTCGTGGATGAGGAACGTGAGTGAGATTAGACAGATGAAGTGAGCTGCCCAAGGTCTCAGGAAGGAGCTTTAAAGGAGAGAGCCAGGACTGTGGCCCAGACAGCTGGCTCTGGAACCAGCATTTTGTACTATACTGAGGCCTGGAGTTTTCAGAATGTGTATCTTGTCTTTTCCTCTTTCTTCCCACCCAGACTCTTATTACCAGGTGCCTGGAGGTTTTAATAGCCTTCCAACTGGTCTGGCTCACTGTAAATGTTCACCTACAACCTCTGTCCATCCCCCATGCTCTGTTACCTCATAATCTGCCTAAAACACTCTCTTCGTCTTGTCTCTCCTCCGCTGCCAAAGAATATACAATCTCTTTGGGAAAAGAAGACACTCATATATGTGCTCCTGAGATAAGCCTATAATGAAGTAAATCAAATGAAGAGTGAGAACAAAATAAATGTGAAGATCTCTTCCTGTGGAGAAATTGCATAATTTTCTCAGTACATATTATAGAGGGGAGCGGACGGGGCAGGCTCACAGAGCTTTAGGTGAGCACTGATTCTGAATCAGGAGGGGTGGGTTTTCTGAGAGGAGATCAGGGAGTTAAGAGCTTTGGCCCCAGGCTGTCCCCGCCACAAACCCTCCGCTTTGTAACATCTGCTGTGGCCTCTCCCCTACCAGTTCCAGTCCTGAGCAGCCTTCAGGGTTTGGCTCAGAGGGGACCTCCACCCTTTTCCGAGTAATCCTCTTCTAGATGGAGTATTGCCTTCCTGGGCACTTTTCTGAGTGCTGACCTCTCCAACGGGGGCGTGTGCTCAAGGAAGCAGTCTGACCTGCGGAGGAAACAGGCTGAAGACGCCATTACAAGGCAGGACTTAAAGTATTGGCCTTGGTTCAAAAGCTTCCAGACATTCCTGGAAAGAAGAACAAATAATAAAACATCATTTGTTTTATTATTTGAATGCTTGTTTGTTATTTGCATCCCAGATGTTGTCTAATTTAATCTTCACCCAATTCTTCAGGGTAGGTTCTATTTTTATTCCCTATTTTGCAGATGAGTTCATTGAGATTGTTGAGGTGAAGGACCCTGTGCCAAACCACGTGGCTAGCAAAGGTGGGCTGCCTGCAGAGCCCACCCTGCTATCTTTATGCCTCCTGGGAGACACCATGATGGGCAGGTGACTTGTTCTCCCTTCAGTTATGGGTGGAAATCCAGGAGGAAGTGCTGGCCCTTTGCCTGCACCAGCCTTCACGGTGTGCAAATGAAGTGCACCTCCACGTGGAAACGTCTCTGGGGTTCCATCTCCAAATGAAGTGGTAGCAGTAGACCAACGAAGGCTGAGTTCTCCCAGGGCTGGCATTCTGTGATTACTGAGCATCGGTGGAAGAAGGGGGAGCTAATTGAGTGAGTTAGTAATTTGGTTGCCAGGGTAACCCTTTTCCGATTGGAAGGAAGGGATCACAGGGTTCAACACAGCCTTGCTGGATAGGGAAGTAGTGTCTGATCTTCACTCCATGTATCTGCTTCTGAGCTGGAAAAGGAGAGAGCAAAAGAGGGTAAAAATTGAACCCAAATATTATAGCACTTATGCCTAATTTAGAATAAAGTCCTTGGGTGGCTGACTCTGGAGTTCTCTGTGAAGTGGGGTGTTCTTTTGTTTGAATCATTTGTTATTTGCCAATTTCTGTGCTTATGTTGCATATTTTTCATTGAGTGTATAGTTCTGGCCTTTTATCTCAGGCCATTTTCTGTGGCCAACTGTCTTCATAGGATGCTGAACATTTTGTGAGAGAATGGTTACAGCTTCCCCTAGCTCAGCCTAGGAGTCTGGAGTGCGGTTTTCCAGGGTTCCAATGGCAGGGCCACCACATCGGACAGCTGCAGGGGTGCCATTCACATTGCACGTGTGTGTGGAGTTGTGCAGTAAACAATACTGAACTGTGTGTGTTGGTTATCAGGCTATTGGAAAGAGGCCTGGGTCCTGTACTCTGAAATGACTTTGAAAATGGCTTTGGTTGGTCACTCTGCCCCGCTCTACCTCTGGACTATTTTTCCACCTGTAAAATGGTCTAATAACTTTGAAAAATCAGTTCTGTAAACCTGTTTTCCAAAAAAGGATTTTGTGATGAACAAGACCTTGTAGAGCTTTTAAAAAGGAGGACAGATACAGGGTTACAATATATTTAAAATAGCTGGTGCCCTGGCCAGTAGCTCATTTGGTTAGAGTGTTGTTCTGATATGCCAAGGTTGTGGGTTTGATACCTGGTCAGGGCACAAGAATCAACCAATGAATGCATAAATAAGTGGGACAACAAACTGATGTTTCTCTCTCTCTCTCTCTCTCTCTCTCTCAGATCAATAAACAATATAAATAAATAAAGTGTTTGATAGTGGGCATTAGTTTTCTCCAGTCTTCCTTTTGTAATGAGGGGTTGTACTGCATGAGTCCTTTGCTTTAGTCTAGCTGTAACCAATCATCATGAGAAGTCAGCACAGTGGGCGTAGTGGTATCAAATCATGACCAGTGGGCCCTGGATTGCCCCTAACCCACTGACCTCCAGGAAATCCCACCCCATCTAAGAAGCAGGCCAAGGACCTCAGAGCTGCTCCAATGCCAGGGTAAGTTAGCACCACTTTCCCCTGCTGCTCAGTGCCCAGAGGTGACAAGCCACTGCACTGTTGGAGGTACCCTTCCTCAGTCTGTGTTAGAGCCTCCATAATCCCCCTCCCCTTGCTGGGCAGCACTGGACTGAGCCCCTTACAGCCTTTTCTGGGCAAGTAGTGGGAAATGACTGGCTTGGTGTGTTCTGGAGGTACTTCTCCCAGACCCTCAGAGTCTGTGTGTTTGAGAGAATGGGGAGGTATAGACAACAGACATTGAGTGCAAAAGGAAGTTAGAAAGGACTCTAAATGGTCCAGAAAGGCCTTTTGGAAGCATGGCATGCGTTTGTTTCATGGGAGACAGAGGATCACTTAGCCTTTTAGGAGTGTCCTGGGGAAGAAGGGGTGGGGACTAAAGACCGTTTATCTCCGGTGCGGGCCAGGCTCCACAAACGCTTTACTCATCTCACTTCTCATCTGTTGTACAGGGGGGAAAAGGAGGCCCACAGCTGAGCGCCTTGTCCAAGGTCCCTGTTTATGAGTGAACTTGAATCTAAACGAACACCCTGTCCCCAGCCTGGCTCCTTCCTTTAGGAAACAGGCTGAAGTAACTCAGAACCGGAGGGACAGAGATAGGATGTTATGCCACTTCTTAGGGAGAGAAGGCAGCAAATAAGCCAAAGGCAGAAAGCAACCCTTTGACACACTCCCACCACTTTCCCACTGCAGGCTTGCACCCTGAGCAGCCCCTGCAGCAGAGCTGCTCGGCCTTCAGGCCACCTTGTAGAACAGGCCCACATAATGAGTGACCGCAGTAGAAAGATAAGCCTCCCTGTCTGCAGTGACTGAGCTGATGTTCTTGGCTAAAACAGTCAGAAGCAACTTCATAAAACATCTCCATCACTGACTAGTAATCCAAAGGCTCTAGCAGGGGTGTCCAACCCATGGCCAGCGGGCCACATGCGGCCCACGGTGGCTATGAATGTGGCCCAGCACAAAAATTTACTTAAAACCTTTTCGTTTTTGCTCATCATTTTTACTAGTGTTTGTGTATTTAATGTGTGGCCCAGGACAACTCTTCTTCCAGTGTGGCCCAGAGACGCCAAACGGTTGGACATCTGGGTTTTGGTGAAAGAGATTGGTCTAAAACCTGACCTCACTTTCATATAATTTCATGCCAGCACCAATGCACACCCCGAGCAGACCCTGTCTAACTAGTGAGCTGCTCAGACACAAAGACACTCTAATTACCATCTGCAAGCTGGGCTGACAAAGATTTCAAGTGTTTTCATGTTTATGGAGATCAGAGAAATGTGTACTGTGCATCTTTCCCACAGACAGCAAGTATAAAATAAAACCAAACAAGAAACATAATACATTTATTGAAAACAGATATTTTAGTTAAGTTAAAATCCTATTATCAGGATGGCTGCAATTCCAGACACTCCAGCACGAAGTGTAGATATGTCAATAGCCACATCTGGATGATGAACAGGCCATTGAATCTTATAAAACTAAAACACCAACTAACCAGTCTTCAGTCCCTCAGAGTGAGTGAACAGTATGTTATGAACTTCACCACGGTTTACAATGGCAAAGCGTGCAGCTTCTCCATTTGGAGGGTCACATTTTCTACTCGGTTTCCTTCACTTACAAAGGCGAGCTGGCATGGCTGGGGGAGGGGCAGAGGGAGGAAATCAACTCCGTCTACCCGGGGAATTGCAGCTGTTATTGCAAATGGCCCTGGAGAGCCCATTATAAGCTGCTGTGTGAGGCTGGGTGTCCCTGGAGTGCCCGTCACGTGGCGTCTCCCCAGCCCCCCGACAGGGCCCCCAGGAGCACCAGCACCACCCTCTTGGGTAAAACAGCAGAGCTGAGGGGGAGAGGAGGGACCCGAGGCCACGTCTTTGGACTGTTTCCATGAAAGCCCTGAGTGCGGCGGCCCGCTGGAGGTGCCGGCGCCCAGCACATCCCCGCCTCCCAGCACCGCGGCGGGTGGCTGTGTGCTTGTCCTCAGGAGACTCCAGCACTGCACCGCCCACCTCCATCCCCACCCTAGACACACCGCGGCTTTCCCCTCCACTGGGGGAACCGCAGTCAGTTACAAAGCAGGGACAGAGAAAAGGTCCTTTCATGGTACCGTGGGTTTTAAGAATCAGCACCCCAAAAGACACAAAATGGTTTTTTTTAAGTGTTGTAAATTTTCAAGAGTGGTAGTTTGAGGTACTCCCTGAAATGATCAACTCATGTTCCCCTCCCCCCAAAGTGAGTCAGGAACCAACCCTGAAAACGTAAAACAAGTAACTGGGATCATCCTCGTCCTTAGGGAGCATGGCGATCCCGAGAAGCACGAACTGTGGCCACATGGTCGCCGGGCTGGAGGCCCGGGGAGGCTGCGGGGTGCCTCCGAGAATGGTCACGCCAAATAAGGAGTCCTATTGACTGTGAGCTGGGGGTGCGCTCTGTAATATGCCTTACATAGGGCCAATTGAGTCCTGTTTTTCAACATCAGGGCCCTTGACCTCAGTTCCCCGCGAAAACATCGGCGATGTTTCGATTCCTCGTCCTTAGCTTATTTTCCCGCTTCGGAAGTGTGAGTTCATCAGTCTGAGTAAAGATGCAGCCCTCAGGAGAATCCCCTGGTGCTCCGGGCGCAGGCTGGCGCAGCGAACACTCCCGGGGCATTAGCTGCCCGGCACCGGAACGCCGTCGCCAGTTCTGAGCGGCGCGCTTCCTCCGGGGTCGCTGCAGACGGCGCGAGGGCTGGGGGGCGACGCGGGCTCCTGGGCTGCGGCCGTGGGAGGCGTCGGGAGCGGGCGTTGGGGAACACCTCCGTGTGGCTGCGGTCGTCCGGATTTTAGCCTCCGCACGGCCTCCTTGATGAGGTTCCCCGAGAGCACCAGCTGCTGCAGCAGCCGATGCGGGTCGTCGTCCTCAACACCGTAGACATCCGTCCGGGGCCCACGTCGGTGCTGCAGGCGGCGGGAGGCAGCGGCCCCCCGCAGCCACCCTCGTCGGCAGGGGCCCGACAGCTGCTTTGGGGCACCTCGCTTGTCGTCTCCTGAAGGCCCATGTAGGCTGGACTGAGGGGGCAATGAGGACAGGGTGCTGTGACCAGCAGCGAGCTCTGTCACGAAGTACGGCGCAGCACGGCCTCTCACGCGGCCACGGTCCCCGAGGGCGCAGCGAAGGGCCCCCGGGGGTGCTGTGCCCACCGCCTCGGCCGGCGCCGGCGGGAGAAGCAGCGGCAGACCGGGGGCCCCGGCCTTGTCTGCCCACACCGCCGCCGGGGGCGGCAACGGCGGCCCGGGGGACATGCACGGGGTGGCAGGGCTGTCCTGCGCTGCGTTCAGCTGCAGCGACTCGCCGATCTGGGTCACCAGCTGGTCCACCTCGCTTGAGCTGCCCAGCTTCGTAGACTGCTCCAGCAGGAGGAAACTGCCTTCCTCTTCCTCTTCGTCCGCCTCCGCTTCCTCGCCGGCTTCCTCTTCTTCCTCCCTTCGGCACGGCATGTCCCCCAGCCTGGGCACTCGAAGCTTCGCGGGCGTTGCTGGCAGTTCTGTGGGCCGCAGCGGAGCCGGGTGCGGAGCGGAGGCCAGGGCTGGGCCGGGGCTGGGGCCGGGGCTGGGGCCGGGGCTGGGGCAGACACGGAAGCCTGAGACCGCCAGGCACTTGTGCCGCGCGCTGCAGCAGTAATAGCCGGAATCCTACCGGCTCGGTTGATTTGTAAACAATGGGTGACGTTGCAGCTGGACCCAACCACTGTGCCGGGGCTGGGGTGCACGGTACCGTTGGGGGGCGGGGCGCCCCTGGGCACGGGTCCCACGTGGAGCCTTGCTCCCTCCCAGCTGCACAGTCTTAAATACTGTCTGCGAGGGTGCAATGAGGAGCTGCTCCTCGCTCTTTAAGGCGGGAGTGATTGGAATTTCTGGCCGATGGACACCTGCGTGGACTCTGTTGGTTTCTTCCACACACAACACCTACAACTTACACTCACACGCCCACCCACTCTCCTCCTCTAAGCCTGTCAACTCATATGGTTCTGTCATTTGCGCTTTTGAGGTCCCGGGTGCCCGCGTCTGGGCAGTCACAACGGGGAGAGTGAGGCGAGGATGGAGAGGATAAGGACTGAGGATAGGCATTTGTCTGGCATTTGACACGGACTACGGGGTGGGGATGGACTGTGGGAGCAGGGGGTGGGGCGGGATGCAGGAGGGCAAACGGGAGGGAAATTGGGACAACCGTAATAGAATAAACAAGATTAAAATTTAAAAATAAATAAAAGAAGAAATCAAAATAAAAGAAAACTTAAACATACACCAATCCTATGATTCAATACCAATCCTAGATATTTACCTACGAGAAGTAAAAACATAGATTTGCATCCATGCCTATAGGCAAATAATCATAGCAGTTTTATTAATAAAAGCCATAAACTGGAAACAGCTCAAGTTTTTAGCGACAGGTGAATGACTAAACTATGGCACATACACAATATAACAATACTCTTTAGCAACAAGATGGATGGAAGTATTGTTACATGCAATCCATGGGTGAATCTCAAAAACAGCACTATAAGAAAAGGAAGCCAGAGGAAAAAATAGCACGTACCACACGATTCTGTTTATATAAAGTTCCAGAACAGGAAAAATTAATTTATGGTGGGGAAAAAAATCAGGAGACTGATTGCCTTTGGCGAGGGTGGAGTCAGGGCAAGGACTGAGTTAGAAAAGGCCTGAGTGAACTTTAGGGTGGTGGTCATGTTCTCTATCTTGGTAGCACTGTATGGGTGTTACAGGTGCACGCATGTGTTAAAATTCATTGTATTTATCGCTTGTAAACTGTACATGAAAAAGCTGTAAACAAATCTAAGTTCTGGTTAATAGACATGCTAATGAGTTTAGGAGTGAGGTATATTAAGGTTTTCAATTCTTGAGTGCACAAAAATGAGATGGATAGAAGAGTGGGTAAGAGTGGGTAGGTCTATGATAAAGCATACATGTAAAATGTTAATGTTATTGTATGACCCAGCAATTCCACTCCTAGGTTCCTACCTGAGATCACTGAAAACATGTTCACACAGAAATTTGTACAGAAATCTTCTTAGCAACATTATTTGTAACAGCCCAGAAGTAGAACAACCCCAGTGTCCCTTAGCTAATAAATGGATGAATAAAATGTTGTCTATTCATGCAACAGAAGATTATTCACCGTAAAAAGGAATGAAGTACTAGTGTAGCGTGGATGAATCTTGAAGACATTACACTTCTTTAAAACAATACACAAAAGGTCACATATTACATGATTCCATTTGTATGAAATTTCCAGGACAGACAAACCTGAAGATACAGAAGGCAAATTAGTGGTTGCCAGGGGATGGGAGCAGAGGGAAATTAGGACTGCTAATGGGTAGGGGGTTTCTTTTGGGGTGATGAAAATGTTCTGGAGTTAGACAGCGATCATGTTTATACAACAGAGCAAATGTACTAAACACCACTGAAGTGTACACTTTATAATTCACTTTGTTTTTCATTTTTTGTTGGTAAACAGTTTTACTAGTTCCAGTGAAGACATCACATGTTCTAGCCCATCGTGATGATGCAACATGTAGCTCTTCTTTGTAGCTGGAACTCAGTAATTCTTTCCATTCCATTCCATTCCAATGATTCCTGAGCTGGTGTCATGGACACAGTCTCTCCATGTGGTCATGTTCTGTTTGAAACTTGCTATCAATGATTTCAAAGTCCTGTTTTCTCATCAACACACTAACCAGAGGGATGTTCTCATATTCAGTACATTTATTTATTATTGTTGATCTTATTGCTGCTGGCCTGACTAGCTGGGGAGAGAAAGAGCTTGCTGACAACCCAGTTGCCCTGCATGCCTCACAAGAAAACCTTTCTTTGGAACTCAGACTACTAACGTCTTCAAAGAACCATTCTATCTCACGTGTTTCGTCTTCAACTCACAGTCATCTGAATGGTTGGGAAGCACAATGTTCGAGGTAGCATTTTTGTTCAAATACATTGTCTGTTGATTCAAGAATATGCTTTTGGCCTGGTTTAATTTCCTATTCCTGGACTTTTCCCTCAATCCCTCTGTTGTGAGTCCTGGTAACCACTCTTCATTTACCAGGGCATTTGCTCAGGGGACCTCTCCAGCTCTGCATCCTGCCGCCTGCTCATATCACACTGGGCGGCTCCCCTGATGAAGTTACACTGGGTCAACAAGGCAGCAGAAAGAACAGGCCCCCCGGGGGTGGGGAGGGCGCTGTCCCAGTCTCCCACTTCTTCATCATACATTTTATCTGGGGAGGGGTCTTCACCCTCATGAGTGTTATGGAGCACACCCCTGCTTTCCCAGGAGCTCTGTGAATTCCCACTGTGCTGCACCCACTGAAGTTCAGTCTGAGTCCCTTCCGTTCTCATTTTTACCCCCCACAGCCACCATAGTGCCAGAATTGTGCTGGATTAGAAGACACATGGAAGTCAGTTTTTGGTTAGGTGTAGTGGGCAAAGGGGGCTGGGGTACAGGGAAGCCCAGATGCTCGCCGCCACACATAGCAAGTACAGATTTCTGTTTCAGAGTCCTGCCCCAGGGACAGAGAATGGATCATAGGCAGAATTCTGGTACCAGAAACTTGGGTAAGGCAGCTGGGCCAGCCATTCATGTAGTAAGAGGGTCTGGGGTTATTTCCTTTAGAATGTGGGTTTTCTTCAGAAGAGTTCATCTCCTAGGCTGCTCCAGTTCAGAGTCTGCTACCGGGAGAGTGTGAAGTGCCCTGCTGATCTTTTTGTGGCCTGACATCTGCAACATGGAGTGTCTATGGTTTTTCAAATTCACTTTAAAGTGAATTTAATGCTATGTGAAGCAGGTCTCAATTTCTAAATGCTCAAACATAATGGTAGTATCTAGGTGTTGGGTAATAGGGTAATCTGCTATCAAATCCTTGCTTTTGTTGACTGTTTGAAAATGTTGAGAATAAAATGTTAGAAAAAAAATAAGCTACAGAAAAGAAGTGATTCATTTTGTGACTTCCTTTAGAACTGCCCAGGGCACGGGGGCCCGAGGGCTGACTAGTGGGAAGGAAGGGAGGAAGTATACACCCTGCTGGCCAGTTGGCAAGGGAATTATGTGGGCCCACTCTCTGGTGTGGAAAGGATGTAGACAGCCTGCTGTGGGTTGACAGAATTCTTGCTCACTGTGGAGGATTTCCAACGGGATGGCAGGAATGAGGCTCGATGTCTTTAGAGGCTAGCAGCATCCCCTAGGGTTGTGGGCCACAGGAGCAGAGCGGCAAGGTAGACACAGGCTGGCGCCTTTAGGAATTCCTTCGTTACCTCCCAGCTCCCAGATAGGAAGGCTTTTGGAGCAAGGCTGGTGGGAGAAGGGGGATTTGTGCCGAGAGAATTGAAGAGATTAGGGGATTCACACTGAGATGCAAAGAGGTGCTAATGAGGTATTAAACACCTCTCAGTAGAGTAGCTGGAGAAGGCTGGAAACCAGAAGGCAGAAACTGAAAATGTCCTGAGGTTGTTGAGAGGGTGGAGAAGACAGGGTAGAAAATGTCCTGAGGCTATTGATAGGGTTCAACCAGGCCGTTGAACAGGTTTTTAGGATCAGGTGGGTCTGTATCTGGGTAGTTAACTGACTGGCTTTGGGCTAACTCTGATGTAGCAGCATGGAATATTTTGCTACTTATGAAAGTAAAAGGACTCAAGATTTGGGAGGAGGTTTAGAGGAATGCAGTCCCAAAGGTGGAGGCTTGAGTAGGGCCCCGAGTTGAAATGGATTTCCTCTAAATTCCTGTCCACAGGGAACCTGTAAATGTGATCGCTAGGGTCTCTGTAGCTATAATGAAGTTCAGTTGAGGTCAAACTGGGTTAGGGTGGGCCCCAGTGCAGGCACGGGTATCTTGGTATGAAAAGAAGATTTGGACACAGAGACACAGAGGGAGATTGCCACGTGTCTGTCAGAGGCAGACACTGGAGTGGCGCTGCCACTGGTGTGAAACACCAGAGACGGCCAGTGGTCACCAGAAGCTGAGAGCACGGAACAGCTTTTTCCCATTGGGTCCCCAAGAAGGAACCAGTCCTGCTGAATAATTCAGACTTCTGGCCTCCAAAACTATGAGAGAATAAATTTCTGTCATTTCAAAGCACCACATCTGTGGCAATTTGTTACAGCAGCCCCAGGAAACTAGCACTTGTTTCGAGGAATTGTTTGAAATGTGTTCTGGAGTATCTGAAGTATCTGGAGTATCTGGAGTATCTGAAATGAGTTCTGAGAATCATTGGAAACGAAGGGCTGAGAGCCTCTCTGATTGCTCCGCTAGGCCCAGTGAGGTCTACCATTAGAACAGGAACAACAAATGAAGAGATGAAAAGACAAGGAGCCCATAAGCCTGTTGCATGTTGATCATAGGTACAAAATGGTCACGTCAGTAGAACATCTTTGCAGCGACTATTAGATAATCCCATATAGGCTGATGCAATTAGTGCTCCCATTTCTGGGGCTGCAGGAATGTCTGCACTGCCTTTGCCAAAGAGTGGTAGTGGGAATGGAAAAGTAGATGCACAAACTTGCAGAGTGATTGGGGTGTCGAGAGAAGGCAGTCTCAGATC